TTGGGAGTACCAAGACCTATAGAGATTTGAGAAGACACTTTTGGTGGCCCGGAATGAACAAAAAGTAGTGAAGTACATCTCCAAGTGTTTGACATGTGCTTAAGTCCGAGCAGAACACCAATTTCCTTATGGAAAGGGTCAATAACTACAAACACCATACGGGAAATAGGAAGACATTACTATGGACTTTGTGATAGGTCTACTATGAACAAAGAAAGGGAACGATGTCATTTGGGTGACTTTCAATCTCTTGACAAAAAGTTCATTCTTCTATGCCATAGAGGAAACAACCCCTTTAAAAAAGCTTGCGGAGATCTATGTTGAGGGAACGATATAATAGTCGTAATAATGATAATAATAATAATAATAATAATAATAATAATAATAATAATAATAATTAAAAACAACAAAAAAAATAGGGAAAAAAACAACAAAAGACAAAAAAAGTCACATCGGCTACCTCTCGATTTTAGACCAACGCCTAAAAACTCGCAATATGTTCCAAATATTCTCAAGGGAATCATAAATTTTTTCAAAATCTAACTTAAACACCATGAGTAGCATTTTTTTTTTCTTCTTGTACTACTGCACCTTCCCATTAAAGGGACCTCAAGAATCTAATGACCTTGACAAAAGTTAACTCCTTAATACTACTGCACCTTCCCATTAAAGGGACCTCAAGAATCTAATGACCTTGACAAAAGTTAACTCCTTAATACGACGGAATGTTTTCAATAACCTTTTCTAATTTGTCAGCCAAGATCTTAGATAAAAATTTCGTTTCATGCCAATAAGACTAAGGTGTTGTTTGTTTTTTGAAAAAAACCTCTTCAAACGTCTTACTGCTGCGCGGCGCAGCACACGCGCAGCACTTTTCATATCGCAGCTGTTTGTTTTTTAGAAGTCTTCTGAGTCAAAAACCTCTGCGCAGGCTCTGTTTGGCGCGGCACTTGTACTGCCTCTTCTAACCTCTTCCAACATCTTCTTCTTCTTTTTTTATTGCTGAAATTTTGATTATATGTTATTAAAATTTTATTTCACATTTTTTTTTTCGTTTATTCTTATTGAATTTATTTTTTATTTTTTATATTCAATAATGATAATTTCTTGATGAAATATCATTATTTTTTACTAAAATATCTTTATTTTTTGTTGAAATATCATTCTTTTTTACTGAAATATCATTAATTTTTACCGAAATGTTATACATTATTAAATTTTACGTATTAAAAAGTTATTTTCGGTTTATAAAATTAGTTTATTTTAATTTTTTAATATCTGCAGCAGTATGCAGATGTTAAAAAAACAAACACGCTTCTTATTATAGTCTGCAGCCGTTTGGTCCACCTCTTCTACTGCAGAGGGTTGCAGAGGTGGTCCGCAGACTTCATGAATTTTTGCTTCAGAAAATCAAACAGCACCTAATAGTTACAAAGGCTTTCACGAATATATGATTAGGCACCTTTAGAATACATGTAATAAAATAGGAATTACACCTATTCGAAATCACACAAGAATCATAAAACTACATGAATATTCTTCTCTATAGGTTATTAAATTGTTTCACAAAGCTAAAAAAGAAATCATATGGATGTTGATCCTTTTCACTAACTCAAGATCAAACTGCATATTTGATTTCTTCAGCCGTGGACTTCAAATCAAGCATTTGGCAGCGATTTGAAGACTATAAATTGAACTGATGGATCCTTTATTTTAATTAAATACCATCAAACATTTCAAAATTCTATTCAAATAATGAAAAGAAAGCATTTTTAACTTGAATGTGATCATAAGCCAATCTCCAACCACCATAACAATTAACACGATGAATTTCCATTACCTTACGCTTCTTATTAAGCATCCCATTGAAAAACTTCATGTTTACATCCCCTTCTACTCCACACTTTACCTTTTGAGCAATATCTAGTTCTTCCAAATACTCTTATGTCATCCAACTTTTTAAAAAAAAAAAAAAAAAACGAAGACGATCATAGATTTTTGAATCACTAGAAAATATACAAAATATTTTATTATCAACATCAATAATCTTCTTTTTAAGTGCCTTTTCACCGCCTCTATTTGAATCCATGTGTCTGAAAGCTAACACTGAATTTTGTCTTTGATGAATTTAAGTTAGTTACTAAGAAAATCATATTGTCACTCGAGCTCACTTCCATATTTTCAGTTCAAGAATGGTGCACGAGATCTTCAAAACCTTCCATGTTCATTCAAGAGTTAAACAATTTGAAAGAAGTCGATCCATATTAATGTAACGAATCCTTTTTAATGATAATTGGACTATGATCCGACCATTTCCTTTCTAAAACTAAGGTGACAAAGTTGGGAAAAAAATCAACTACCTCTTATGAAACAAGGAACCGATCGAGTTTACGTATCTAAGTTCTTTGTTTTTGTATCTAAGTAAACTACTAGCCTCTAATTGCATCATGAATAAAATAACTAAAAATAATCCAAAGAATCCTTGGAAAACACTAAACCAAACCTTCCAATTTATCAAAGATACCATTAAAGTCACCAAACTTAATACATTCACATCACGTTAATTAAAATAAATAAATAAATAAACATAGAAGTGCAATTAACCATTCTTTTCCACTAACTGCATTTTGCAATACATACACGTTAATTAAAATAAATAAATAAATAAACATAGAAGTGCAATTAACCATTCTTTTCCACCACTACATAATTTTCTGAACACATGACACTTTTATTTGCAAAACCCATGGGACCCCAAAATGAAATAATACCACACCCGAACTCCCCCTTGCAATACTTCATGAGAAATCAAATTGAAAACTATCCCACAACGAATTAATTTTAATTAACTCGTATACTTTGCGATCAAATATTATTAACTACACAAACATTTACCCATATGTATCACATAAATGTTTTATCCATCCCTTCTTTCGATTACTAGCAACACCACAAGAATTTAAAGACATATATAATATTCATCAATTAACTTCAATTTCACCATTCATATTCATCAAAAACTTCAAGTCTTTTCTACACCAACTCATACCATACCCCACAACTTTTCCAATCTCAACTAAAAAGGTATTCTATTAACTAAAATAAAAAACATTATTCTCTTTAATTTTATATTTGGAAGAACTTTTATTGCGCCTTTTAGTTCTATTACTTATGCCCTTGCCACCTTATTTAAATACGCATACATATGCCATACATATTCAAATAGCCTTAATGTACAACTTATTGCAAAAAGCATGAGCCATGCGACTTTTGTTACAAACCAAGCTTTACATTCACGAGGACATTTAAACATTGTGATTTTAATTCCCCTACACGGCTAATATAATTATTATATTATAACTACAGTATTATTAGTTTTTTTTATATTTTTATATATGTCATACTTGTTTATCAAATTATACTAAATATTGTCATTATGAGTTATGTTGTGTAGAAAGTGATTACAATGCCATCACTTTAAATAACAATAATTAACGTCTTTTAGAACGGCATGTCATTTTAAAATCGAAGCTTATAAGATTCGAATATATGACAACTCTTTTTATAATTAATTTAAATGTCTGAATAATTTATACATATTTTCTAATTAACTGATGTAAATTAATCATATTGTCTCCATGATGGTAGGTAGAGCATAAATGTTGGTCTTGAGTTCTTAACTTGGGACATACTAAGGGAAAATTACTAATCTAACCAAATTTATTAATGACTTTTTATTTTTTAGCTAAAATTTAGGATTTATTTCAAAATAGTCATTGAAACCGTAGGCGCTTAAAATGGCCTACTGTTTCGCCCATTTACTTGGTTTTGATTTTAGTATATAAGAATTTTTTTTTTTCATTTTTCACTACGAAATCGTAGACGAAAAAATGGTCTACTGTTTCCTTTGAGAAGTCTACTGTTTCCCAAAGAGTAGATTAAAAAATATCTACTGTTTCGTCTAAAAACCTACGGTTTTGGGTTTTTTTGAGTATTTTACTACTAATTTATGTATTTTGACTACTATATCGTACCTAGTATATATTAAAAGAAAAATCTCTTTTAGAGTAAAAGTTAGTGTTTTTTTTCATCTTAAAAAAATAAAAAACCAAAACCACAGTAGATCATTTTTTAATCTATTATTTGGGAAACAGTAGACTTTTTAGAGGAAACTGTAGACCATTTTTTCATTTACAATTTCGTAGTGAAAAATGAAAAAAAAAAAAATCCTAATATACTAAGATCAAAACTATAGGTAAATGGACGAAACAGTAGGTCATTTTAACCATTTACGGTTTTGATTACTATTTCGAAATAAGTCCTAAATTCTGGCTAAAAAATGAGAAGTCATTAATAAATTTGGTTAGAGTAGTAATTTTTCCCTAAATTAAATTAATCGTTGGTGATCTGTGATTTAACTCTAATACTTGAAAACCCAAAACCAAATTTCACCGGGAAGAGCATTAAAAGATGTTTGAATAACCTATATGTTAAACTTGGGTACTATTTGATAACATTGTACTACCTTTTACCCTCACATAACTAAATTCTGGTGAAAAAAAAAAAATGAAACATGTTACCTTATTAAACTAAAAATTGAAACTTCAAGATATGATGATAGAACATGGTTATTATTTTTAACGTAACTATTACAAACTTGAATATAAAATGACACAAAAACCAAGCTGAAGGGACACGAGCTAAGACGAATAGGTGAAGTGGTTTACCGGATTTGCTTTTTAATCTCAACCACTACGAGATCCTTTCCAAATTCCAAGCCCTATATTTATTGAGAATGCATGTACATGGTAACAATATTTTTGTATCCATGTGTAACATAAATAAATAAAATAACCAAAAGTTAACTCTTAGCAAATGTTACAATAATATACTCGTACATCAAGATTTATTGTTTTGTGTCAAAGTTTAACTTTCCAATTAGAAATTACGCGAAGTATTTTGAGATAATACTACTACTACTTTATAGTGTTTTTGCATGATGTTTTAAACCATAAACTTGAAACTCATTTTTATTAAAATGATGTTCCAAAAGATAAGCATTTGAACAAATTATAATATTAGCAAAGCCGAAGATTAGTATGTTAATATTGAAATTTAACAACATATTCCTTTGAGAGTATATCACACCCTAAATACATGATGCCACAAATGGCTTCCATCAAAATTTATGAGATCCACTCAATTCGGTATCTTTAGTTTGAACTTCAAGCCCAACAACAGCAACTGCAATCATCACAGATAAATCAACTAATAAATTTCAGAGTAAATTACACGAATGGTCCCTATGGCTTCGGGTAATTTGCGCGTTTCGTCCCTAACTTATTTTTTTAACTCGGAAGGTCCCTATTGTTTGTTTTTGTTACACACTTGATCCCTAATGTTTGTCTTTGTTATGCGTTTGGTCCCTGTCTTACCTAAAAAAACTATTATTTAAATAGGGAAAAATGATGTGATAGGTAAAGGTAAGGTTAGGGAGGTGAGGTTGGGGGTGTGTTTATTTAAATAAATTAAAAAATCAAGGGAAAAATAGTCTTTTTTAGGTAAGACAGGAACCAAGCATTTAACAAAAACAAACAGTAGGGACCTTCCGAGTTAAAAAAATAAGTTAGGGACGAAACACGCAAATTACCCTAAGCCATAGGGACCATTCGTGTAATTTACTTTCACTATACAAACAAACTCAAAAGTAAGTACATACTGTCATTAATATTTTTGTAAGGTCAAATGCAAGAAATAGTAACTAACTTCTATTCATTTGTTTATTATTTATAGTCCTAATTTTATATCTTCCTATCATAGCATTGTACATGTAAATTCGTGTCTGACACGAATACACGACACGGATTGTCAGGTCTAGATAACCTTGATTGAAACAAAACCTTTCGAGTTCCCAATGATTGAAATTGAAAGCACGTGATGGAGATTCACTTGATAACCTAGAGAAATACAGAAGAATTGTGGGAAAACTTAACTGTCTGTCGATTACACGTACAGACATTGCTTTTTCGATGAGTGTTGTAAGTCAGCATCTCCATGAACCTTACACTTGGATGCAGTTAGTTATATTCTGAAGTACCTAGTCAAGGCGTCCTATATCAAAATCATGATCATCATGTCATCGAAGGCTTCACCACTGTCAACTACAATTGCGATCCTACAAACAGGGAGTCTACTACTACTACAAGCTCTTGTGTGTTTGTTGTAAGGAATCTGGTTTCATGGAAAAGTAAGAAACACAATGTCGTTTCACAATCAAGTGTTGAATATCAGGCTATGGCTTAAACTACATGCGAGCTAATATGGGTACGAAATATGTTGATGAACTTGAGTTTGCTCAATCCAAACCAATGAACCTGTATTATGATAATGAGGCGGCTATCAATATTGTAAACAATCCCTTCTTTCATGAAAGGACTATATATATATCAAAGAAGACATCAATTTCACTTGTGAAAATCTAGAAGATGGAATCATCTCTACTCCCCATATTCGAATAGGAAGTCAACTACTTCATCAAAGCAAAGCATTACCTCTGGTTCGTAAATATCTTTTATTTCTAACAAGTTAGACATGCTTAACATATATGATCCAACTTGAGAGAGAGTGTTAGAATGCAAATATTATATGTATTAGCTTTGGCCTAGTTAGCCTATTGACCCAAGGGTTTCTATGTCTAGGGATCCTGCCTCTATATATAGTCTTGTACAATCTCCTTGTAAAGTACACAATCAATAATGTATTTTCACCCTCAATCTCTAGTTTACAAGAATCTTATAAGATATGTGAATCATGTTGACTTGTTAAATGAAGAACAACATTTTACCTTAAATGTAAGAGTTGATGCATTAACAAGAATCTTATACTTTTTCACTTTAAATGAAGAAACAAATATAAATCACTTGAAGTCTCCAAAAGAGTTTCTGAGCGAAGTAGAAAACTAGTTAGGCAAGAAGATTAAAGTTAATCGGTCTCATCAAGAAGGCAAATATATTAGCCATGATTTCGACTTCGAATGCTATCTTAATTAGTTGAGTTAACTCAGGGAGAGTCTAGCCTCTTGAATGCTAGGTTTCATTTTCTTGTAATAATTTGGTTCTAATCTTTTAATTCTAATCAAACATTCCGCTATATTGAATGACCCGTTGAATCAAACAGAAATTGAGATAAGGTAAAAGAAAGAGGAATAATAAAAAAAAGTTGTTAAAACAAGAGTTTAAAATGAGTTGCAATCCATGTACCTTGTTCAAATTTGTGGCTATCTTGACTCTTGAGTGATGAAATCAAAGAAAATGGAGAAGATAGAAGATGAAGAGTTATGTCATTCAAATTTGTGGCTGAGTTTTCAATCAATGCTCATGAAATCCAAAAAACCACCAAACAATATTGCAAGTCTGCAACACCCTTGTCTAACTTTCCACCCTCTCTCCTATCTGATGTGAATAAATCAAAGGTGCCAAATTTCAGATAAATCAATTATTTTATAGTCTCTTTGTGTAAAAATTAGTAAATGATTGAAACATCAGAGACTTTTCCATACAAAAAAAAAACTAAAAACAGTAGGACTAAATGCAACAGAAAGCAACCTACTTTCATTTCTTCCTCTTATAACAAACAAACCAATGATCATATATTGCTATTTCTAGCATTTAACCCTAAATATTACAAAAGCTGATAGTTTACATACCTTTGATATATTTCACATGTTTTTGGAAGTATGCAACTTTATGAAAATCTTTAAAGCAAAATAGTTGTAGCCTCACTTGGAGTAAACCCTAACTTCTGCATCTCCTCCAGCCATACTTTACCTTCAGCCGCCCTACCATGTCTGTAAAACCCATGCACCAAAGTCTCATAAGTCCACTGATTCGGCTTATACCCTTTCTCATAAATCTTCCGGAACAATCTAGAAGCATCATCCACCTGTTTCTTTATTAGTTTCCTCAAAAGCATGTTGTATGTGTATATATCAAGTGGAAAACACTTCCCCACTACTTCCTCCAACTCATCGATATCTATATCGTCTCTAAACCGGTCAGAAAACAACCCAACCAACTCACCGAGTTTCCACATAGGTGACGACTGAGTCGACTCGGTTGACTCGGTGGGTAGTGAGTCGACCCAAGTGCTGTATAGGTTTTGGTCTTTTAAAGAATATAGAAGCAAATTGTTACCGATAAAAGACGATAAAGGACGCCCGACTCGAATCATGTCACTGATAACATCCATGACTTTGTCATATCTTTTGTATTTGCATAAAACGTAAATTAACTCTTCGTAACATTCGATACTTGGTTTGACCGTTTTACCCTTCTCTCTAATTTCCAAAAATATACTCAACGCAACATCCGGTTTATTTGCTTTGCATAGACCAACAACCATCGTGTTACATACTTTTCTCCCGATTTTTCGTCTTTTCAAAATATCATAAAACATCAACGCATCTGATGTTTTCCCACTTTTTAAATAACTTTTCAACATTAAAACATCCGAACCCAAATTCGGAGAAATCCCACTTCTTTTCATCATTTCATACACTTCTTTTGCTAAATCGGGTCTTTTAGCAAGACCAGCTCCTTCTATAAAATAATTAAAAAACGTACAATTGGGTTCATGTAAAGACAATTGCATTTCCAACAATTTTTCAAATTGTTTTTCGGGATTTTCCATTTCACATACACTTTGAACCACACCTCGAAACAATTCCCTCCCAGGGGTACGACCTTTTTCTTTCATTTCTATTAATAATCTTGTTGCAATATCGCCTCTATTGTGTTTTATAAACCCGTTTATCAAAGTATTGTAAGCACATCCGGTTGTTACTTTATCAAGAAGGGTTAATTCCCCATGTATGATATACCCATCTTCTAACTTTCCCTTACTACAAAGGGCGTTTATGTACTTTTCGTAAAACTTATTGCTTAACAAAATCCCATGCTCTAATGCTACACGAAAAAACTCCTTCATCATCTCGAGATTTTCCACATTGCATAAAGCGTCTGCCAAGATAGAAAACGGGATTTTTCCCGGGAAATACCCTTGGTCGATTGAGTTGTTTAAAATACGATATGCATCAATGACGCTTCCGTCCCTACAAAGGGTATTCATTAAGTAATTAACAGCCATTGAACTCAAAGATAATCCAATCTCTGTTCTTGAATCGTATAATTTTAAAGCAACATCCACCATTCCTGCTTTACAAAAGAAGCATAGAACAATGTTCATTGTTAACTCATCTGGAGGGATATTGTTTTTCATCATTTCAATCACTAAATCACATACTTCTTCGAGTCTGTTTTCTCTTAGAAGTCTTAAAATCAAGGAGTTGTAACGAAAAACATCCGGAACATAAACAGCCGGCTTTTGGTTCCTAGTTTTTTGCAAAAACTCCATAGCTCCATCTACCTTTCTAGCACGAACAAGTTCCCGAATCCATATATCATAAACATGAAATTCCCCAAATTCATCGACTAATTTCCCAGCTTTATCAAACTCATTGTTCTTACATAACGCATCAACAATAGCACCAACTATATAACCACTACTCTTTATTTTAATCCCACTATTAATCACCCCATGCAGATAACTTTCTGCTTTATCAAACTCCCTTTTTCTACAAAAACCCTTGACCAAAATTGAATGAGTGATTTCTGATTCAAAACCACGAATCTTGATCTGTCTAGCAACTGATTCAACTTCATCAAAATAACCCTCTTCCACTAAAGCATTTAAAAGCACATGATAAGCAAAATCGTCTAAATCAATACCTTGGTATCGCATTCGGCCGAATAATTGAAGGGCAATTTCGGGTTTTCCTGCAACAGCATAACCCATGACCAAAATGTTGTGAAAATTAGTCATGTGACCTCCTCGATGTTTGTTATACCTTTCTAATAAATCAAACATTTTTGACATCAGTTTTGCTCTTGAAAGAATCTTGAAAATTGCATTGAATGTGGCACGTGTGTGGTGAAACCCTTGTTGTCTCCCTGCCCAATCAAAGAACTTTGTGCAAGATAAAACGTCTTTTACGTATGATAAAACATCAAGAACAAGTGACTCTGTGAGGCGTAGATTTAGAGAAGATAAAGCTGCATCTATGGCTTCATGTTGCACTACAAAATCCTCATTTTCACTGATGCTGCCATTAGAAGATAGGATTTGATGTATTTGGTCAAGAAAAGGGTTCCCATTTGACTTGAACCATTCGCGAAATGTTAGAGCCAAATCTTCTGCGTGTAGTTTATGCAGGGGTGATGAATAAGATGGAAATAATGGGTTTAAACTGAGAGCATTTGATGTGGTGGATGATGTTATTGTTGAATAGTTGAAGGGATTGTTGTTATTGAGAGGAGAAATGAGGGATCTGATGGAATTTTTCTTTAGGTATCTTAGTCTCACCATAATTTGTGAAGTGGATTTGTTGTAAGCTACTGCATTAACACTGCCTTAGGGGCAAAGTTTTATTTCTTGATGTCTGCATCCCACCTATGAACCTATAAATCAACCAAAAACAAATACATTAATTAATATTCAGGAAATTGACTCAAGTGGATATGAAATTGCTATCCAAGTTCAATTGGGATTTAGGAATGGTTTGTAAACCTCTTAAAGAATCATATTTAATCCAAATCTCATCTCAATAGCTGTGATTGGGCATAAACCATGGTATCAAGCAAGTAATTATGCAACAATCAGAAATTCAATAGCATATAGATCTTATAAGAGCTTGATTGAAGCTAGTTAACCTCGCTTATCCACCAAGCTATGTAAAGTTAACATAGAACTGGGTAAACACTAATAAAATCCATGGATTAGAAATAAAGATGCCCTAAGTTCGTACAGTTTTTCTACTAGTTATCAGACAGTATATCTTTTTTATGATATGCAGTGCTTCATTTCTAAATCCTATATAAGCGAAAAGATATTAAATTACCTAAATCAGTAGTTCCTTTATACACATACTAGCTTCATTCAACTGGAATCGGAAGCAAAACGATGAATCAAATACATTTACTGGTAATGTCGTGAAGCAAGATGGAGCAGTAATCCGGCGATGGGAGAAGCAGCATGCCGGAGATGAAAGGAGACGGCGACGTCGGGGGGCTGACGTCAAGGCGAGGAGAGATGGGGCGAGAGAGAAGAAAAATGCTACCTAGGAAGGTACTAAACTACCAATCGGTTTGATTTAGTAAAAATAATATAATTAAAATAAAAGATCTCTAATAAAATCATAATATTTTCGGTTAGTTTACATCATAATATTTTCGGTTAGTTTACAGTTTGGTCACAAATTAAATTTTGTTTAAAAAAAACATAAAAGAAGCTAAATCTTTGAAATAACCCTACGTAGTTGGTTTCACATATTTAACCGGTATCTCGTTTTTTTCGTTAATTGATCTAAATTTTGGTGGTTTTTTTTCATTAATTTATCAAAATTTTGATGTTTTTTCATTATTTTTTACCAATAATCAAAATATTTGGATTTTTCTGAAAATTACCTTTAAACTAAGGGAACTGATATTTCCACTTAAAAAATTGATACATCCACATAAGGTACAATATCATTGTAGTTATCATACAAATCAGTAAAACTTATATTTTGTGGATGAATAAATGCCTTGAGTGGAAATATCACTTCCCTTAACTAATGCCTCTTATATGATCTAAGTTAATATGTAACATTCTCCATCTTCTTTTATTACACTCTTTTTAGGCTCACCGCATGTTTTCATCGTCGTAGTCGAACCTAACAACAAAAATGTCACTCACAAGCATTGTTAACTTCATCGATTTTCCAAAATAATCAATTCACAACTTTGTGATCATCTTTCAATCTCTAAATGAAGAAAGGAGAAAGTCGTTGTTGATCACGTGAATGTCCCTATTACCTAACCATGACTTGAACCATGGTTCAAACACTCTGATGTTCCTATTACCTATCCATGACTCGAACCATGGTTCAAACCCATACACTAATGGCGTTAGCCATAGTGTGTTAACAAAAAAAGAAGAATCATACATTGTTCAACGAGTGATATTTTGACTCATGTCTTACTTGACCCTCATTATTGTAATGTCCGGAATATAGTAGTAAAATTTTCATTTTTAAAACAATAAATCCGTACAACCATTTTCTTAAAATCCAATCAGAGAAAAATGTATTTTTCAAACATCAGAGTAATACAATAATTTTCTGTGCGGAAAAAGTAGGGATGAGCATTTGGACCGGACCAGACCAAACCGAATCGGTTTCGGAGAATATTGTTGACTGTGGACCGGACTGGATGAGACTTACCAGGTCCAGGTCAAGGTCAAGGTCAAGGTCCAGGTCCAAGTCCAGGTCCAGGTCCAGGGTTTTCGGTTCTTGGACTAGTTTGGATTGGTATAACTTTATATGCATACAGTACAACTTATTAAAACGCGTTTTTGGGGTTTGATACAATTCGTTAAAATTAATATGTTGTTGGGTTTGATACATTATAACTTGCTAAAGTGAATATTTTTTTGGGTTTAATACGGTACAACTCATACAAATGGATATGTTTCCGTTTCTTGTGCCCTTTGGATGAGTTAAACTTTGATTGTTTATACTTTATAACATTTGTTTGAAAAATTGTAACTTATTGAATATAACAACAAAATTATAGTCTAAAACCATATACAAACTTTAAATTACACGTTGGAAAAAACCGCAAGTAAATCTGACTTAGAACAAATGAGATATGCTTGTTTAAAGAATTTTACAGAATACAAAGGTTTAAATTCCTTGTTGAAAAGTTGAAATATTCCAGTTTTGATATTTCAACTTTGAATGATTGTAACTCATTGAATATAATACCAAAAACAACAAAATTATTTTTTAAAATCATCTACAAACTCTAAATTACATGTTGGTAAAAGTGCATGTCAATCCAACTTAAAACGAATGAGATGTGTTTGTTTAAAGAATTTCACAGAATGTAAAAAGTTTAGGTTTTTTGTTGAAAAGTATAAATATTTCAGCTTTGATGTCTTATATTTGAAAGATTGTAACTCACTGAATATAACACCAAAAACACAAAATTATAGTCTAAAATCATTTAAAAGCTCTAAATTACACGTCGGAGAAAACAGCATGTAAATCCGACTTAAATGAATGAGATATATTTGTTTAAAGAAATTCACAGAATACAAAAGTTTAAAATTCTTGCTAAAAGCTGAAATATTTTAGCTTTGATATCTCATCTTTGAAGGATTGTAACTCATTGAATATAACACCAAAAATAATAAAATTATAGTCTAAATACATCTACAAACTCTAAATTATACGTTGAAAAAAACTGCACGTTAATCCGAATTAAAACGAATGGGGTATGCTTTTTTTAAGAATTTCACAAAATATATTTTTGTAAAAAAATAAGCCAGTCCAAAACCGGTTTTTACCTGGAAGCGGCCGGACCAATTTTTCTAAAATCCTAAAACCAAGGGCCAGCCTAAGGGTAAAAAAAACAGTTTGATCTGGTTTGGTCCGGTCTACGGGTTCAAATGCTCACCCCTATGGAAAAGCCATCATGGGATGTTGTATAGTCAAGTTGGGTCTTTCCCCATGGAACTGGAAGTACCTAAAAAAATGTTTTAACCATAAACTGTAAGCACAAAGCTTACTGAGTTCCTCAAAATACCATATATCATACATATCAATGGGCCCATCCCATACATTGGGCCCAACCCATTATATCGGGCTCATCCCTTCAAACCAATGGGCCCGACCCAACATGTATACTAATAGGCCCGACCCAACACATTATGCAAGAGTCACAAAGACAGCTAGTATCCTACACAATATAGTAGGAAGACTCACCTGACTCACGAATCAGCTAACCCACAGCTCAATGCCCGCAATAGATGTTACAATACTCTTATCGAAACATACGAGGTCCAACCTTAGTTTACATACTAAATCCATAAATCTTGATCAAAAGTCAACCCAGATCAACAAGTCAATGGTCAAGGTCAAAGTCAATAGCTAAAAACATCAACCATTGAACCTCACGTCGTGACCAGACCTTGGTCACGTCATGAGAGCACACTTGGCCATATTTCAACTCAACTCGCTCCAACTCAGCAAAATCGGTCACTGATAACCCATTCAACAAGCATCACGATGTGAACCTGGTCACGCCGTAAGCATAAACAGGACAAGATAGTCGTGGATTCCATCGTCGTCATGTCATGACACCCTCATGGCTACGACGTGACCATTGGCTGAAGCAACATCTTAATGATTTGAGTCCTTAATCTAATAAGTCTTAACTCCAAGTTTTCTAAAATCTTAAGGGGACTCTAGATGTCCATAAAATGACAACTTTATGGACATGCATGCCCCATGCATGTCCTTTATCCAATCTAGGGCAAAGGGCAAGAAAATGACTCCAAACTCATGCAATGATCACAATACACAACCAAATCCCATATATGAATCAAATAATACTCAGAAGGTTTCAAGGATCCATAAAGTTACCAACTTTATGGAAGTCCATCACTTCAACTTACTTAAACTTAAAGATAAAGGGGCAAGGACTTAAATCTAGCAACCTAGAAACATAAATGTTGAATCTTGGAAACTTATAAAGGTCCAGAATGAGCACAAGATGTTGATGATAAGGTCTCTTTACTGGAATAACACTCTAGAACTCTTCTTCTTCTTCTTCAAGCTATCAAAGCACCAAAATAAGTAAAGAACCACAAAGAGGGATTAGGATTAGGATTTTATGAGATTTGAGGGTGATAGAGGCTGATAAGGAACCCTAAAATCCAAGTAATATGGTTTAAATACGAAGGAAACGCTAAAAGATCATGGGCTTGGGCTACTGGCGCCTTCATGTCGTGACCACCTATGTGTCACATCGTGACCACATTCCAAATACATGTTCCTCATTTTTCTTGTCACATCATGACCAACCTATGGTCATGTTGTGTGTAACACTAGTCAAAATAGGTCGATAACAATCACATGTGATTATACCAATCATGTAATGTGATTTTGTTAAAGTAGCAATGTAGTAAACTTACTATGTATTTCATGATAATTCTAATACAAATATGAACTTTCATACATACTTTATAGTATAAATCAAAGTATACATCCATGCGATTCCAAAAATATAGAGAACATCTAAATCTGACTTCGCTTGAAGAAATTATGATAAACCGAACACTATAAAATCCCTATAACAAGAGGAATTTAAAATAGGATTAGAACTAGATATTGGAATCTAATAGAGAGTTGTAGTACTCGGAATTACCTACGCATAGATATAAAGAACGTCAAAAATGGAGTTTGTATGCAAAAGTTATGACCTTCCGAAGATGCAGCTGTCTTAGAGCATAACATGTGGCAAGAAACCCTAGCTATCTGGATT